TGGGTGGGGTTTGCACCCACTCTCCTCCCCAGGGAGGCAGTAGCATGGGGAGCTGGTGACATTTCTGTATTCCTATTTGAGAGAAAGGACAATAGACATCAGGGATCCTGTGTCCTCAGCTGGCCTGTGTAAGCTGAGGAAAGGAGGGCAGAAGATGGGGTGACACTTGGCTGGAGAGAAATTTGATCTGGGGAGATGTCTCTGGTGCAGGTATAATATCTCTGGTGCTCAGCCCCATGCTGTTCAAATGGGCAGCTCTGGAAAGGAGGTAAAGGAGCGAATTACACCAACATGCCCTCAAGGTCACACCAAGGACTTGTTGGAGGTCCTAGGTGGCTTCTGAGCCGCTTGCTTGCTCTTCCCTCCAACTGTGGACACTTAGGAAAGAGCCTTTCTGTGATTAGCTTGGGTACTGTTACCTAAACTGTGGACATCAGTAGACAGCCAGCTGCAATCACCGTGGTCAGCAGGGACTGAACCTATTGCTCAGAGCAGGTATCACTTGCCAGCAGTTGTTCTCACCCCGTCTCCATCACTGGGAGCTGTGAAAACACACACTCTTCACCCCACACCCAGAGCTCCAGAGTAGAAGACCCAGGGCCAAGCCTGAGAATATGCATTTCTAACATATTCTCAAGGATGGCATGCTGCCTGCCCGGAGACCCAGTTGAGACGTGCTGTCTAGGGTTACAAGTAACAGAAATACTTGAAAGACTGCATCTAACAGGGTCTGCAGTTGTCATCAGTGTTCCTGAAGGCCAAGATTCCCTCAGGTGTCCTAATACAAACTTAGAAGCCAACAAACCCTTCAAAGGCCCTTTGCATTTCTCAAAAGCTATACAGCATGGTTGTCCTTAATTCTGGCCTTTCAATGTCAACCAGACTAAATCTGCTAAAATATCTATGAGGTTTAGTTGTTTGGAAAGTGGGTTTTATCCAAAAGATGGAGAAAGTAGCCAATGTGAGAGGTGTGGCAGGGTTAGACGTGAAAATATCCTGGTAAGGGCTGCTGACCTTTGTCCATTTCCGACTTTAGTGTAAATCAAAGGAACTGTTAGAGGCACGTTTTGGTACCCAAAGGCTGGCCAGCCTGCAGGATCCTCAGGGTCTGCTGTTTGAGTTACCCGTGAGCTCCTGATCATCCCAGGAGATGGCAGAGTGTGACACCAGGATGCTGGATTGAAACTTGGTGTCACCTCCCACTTCCAGTTGTTGAGTTCCTGGTGCTTCTGGTCCTGCCTGGTGAAACACATCCTGATGCACCGACCCGAGAGTGCTGGTGCCAGGTTCTGGTGACAGCACACACCAGGAGCACAATTTGGCAGAAGGGATGTGCTCAGTGATGGCTGCCAAGTGGACTGGGCGTTGGGGTGGCTGGGGCACTGACAGCCCCTACACTGAGACACAGCCCCTTTCTGAACCATGAGCAGTCTGTAATGATGAATGGAGCACTCTGCAGAAGCTGCTTCTCAGCAGACTGCCGCCCCCACCCCCACTCTGCGAGTCGGCTCAGAGATGTTGAGATAGAGAGATGGGCGGGGCTTAGGCTGGCTGGGAAGAAAGGGCTGGTGCATCCCAGAATCTACTCAGCACTGCCTCTCAGGATCCTGTATGGAGAAGTTCTGGTGGGTTCCCTCTAGGTGTGGACAGGATAAAAGGACACAGACACCATGCAGAGTTCACCTGTGGCTTTCCTCATGGTAGCCCACCTTGTGCTTCCCTTGGTATACTTTTATTTTTATTTTTTCCCTTCTTTTATTTGGCCCAAGTTCACTCTACAGAGCCAGTTTCTCCCTTACCCTTCACTTTTCAAATAAACTTTGTCACCATTTTTGGTTGTCTTGTTCAATTCCTTGTTTGAGATGAGAAGAACCTGGAAACCAAGAGGGGAGCACCCCCAAACCCTAGTAACAACATGAACTCAAGCTTTGGACACAAGAGGTGAGAGCAGGGCGCCTCAAGTTATTGCCTCAGTTCCCCGCCCTGACATCTTCAGCAGCACAGAAACCTTATGATTTACCCAGAGAGCACGTCTCCTTATCCCTAAGGGGAGTCTGAAATGAGCAATAAACACTTTCTGAGAAATAAAGGTAGCAGTCTTCTGACAGCTGCACATCTTGGTGCCATTGAGCAGCCCCAGCACAACCCCCTTGGTCACTTTCCAAAGTGCTGTTGAAGACCTCAGTGCTGTGAAGAGGCAGGACAGGCTCAAGTATTTTTCCTTTGCATGTGGGCAGCCGGGGCTCTGACTTGGCACCTCAGTAGGGAAGCTCTGCCAGGGTCCTGGATGTGACAGCTGAAGCAAGTTTGTGGTCTTCACTTCCACTGCCTTGGTACTCACTGCCCAGGAAGTAGGGCCTTGAAGGACTGACTCAGGGGCAAATCAGCCTGATTGGTGGGCCATGCAGTCCAGGGACAGGGTTGGTGTGGGTATCCCTCCCCTTCTTATCTTCCCAAGCTAACAGCCTTGCCTCTGAGTGCTGTCAGGAGCAGAAGGAACATGATTTGGGATCAGGCTCCGTGAGCATCCAGAAGATTCCCTGAGCTGCATTTCCGGTCTCGGAGGAAGGCTGGTGTTCAGTGTGGTATGCATAGTCCCAAGGCTGTTGGTCAGATCTGGGACATAGTGAAGTTGTATGCCTAACTGGGGGGGGGGGCGGGGCTAAGACTCACAGGAAGCAGAGAATAACAGTGACCCATACATGTGACTGCAAACTGCCTTAGGCTGTCCCAATGCTGGGAATGCACTGGTAGTCCCTGCCCATTCCCAGTATACCCTGATGTAAAGAAGCCACATGTGTGATTTACTGGGAATTAAGGGCAAACCTGTAGTTCCTAGATGGACTATCCTGGGTCTTCAGTGGTAAGACAACCAGCCAGCATGGAGTCCTCAGGAACTGGATTCATCCAGGCAAAAGGTCCCAGACAGGCAAACTCAGGCCTTGCAGTGAACAGCTGGAATCCAAAATCTTTTGTATTTGCCACAAGCCTGTGGGGGCTAGGTGGAAAGACCCAGTCCCGGTCCCAGCTGTGTCCCTCCCAGTGTGACCTTGAGAAGGTCGCCCACTTTCTTCTTCTTGTGTGTCATGAGGGGGCCATCAGGTAAACCTTAGGGCCCTGTCATCTCTCTGATTTGGGTCTAGGTCCACCCCGTTGGGTATACTGTAGCCATCAGGGCTCTGAGATTTTGGCACTTTGTCCTAATCAGAAGTGAGGGGACTGGTGAGGGCCACAGACTAGTGGCCACCTCTGTTTCAATGGTGAAACAAAGGGAACTAGGTTTCCCCTTCCACCCCTGTCAGCCACTGATGCATTGCTTAGTTCCTGTTTCTCTTTGCCCACCCAGGAAGGCCCTGTGTACAAGATCCTGGGCCCAGATGCCGGGCCTTAAGCCACATTAGAAAATGCTAGCTCATAGGCCACAGAACGGGAAGCAGGTTTTCCCGGGTGGTGTTCCTACAGAATAACTAGGTGTCTCAGGGCCAGTGTCCTCAGCTCTTAGCAGGCTCTATTTCTCACTGCCACTAGCAAATGGGGCCCTTTAGAGAAAACTAAAGCTGCAGAAGTTTGTGTGGATTAGCTAATTCATGCACAAGGCATCAGAGAGAAACAATACAGAGGAGAGGAGGTCCACCCAGGCCTTGCAGGCCGGGCAGTCTGCCCTTGGCATTTCCTAACACCATGCAGCGGAAGCCTGCAGGCCAAGCCAGGGTGCATAAAAGGCTCACCCAAAAGTGTTTGGGAAACATAATCCGCCAGTCGAAGAGCTTTGTTTCTTAACTCCTCGGTCCTTCCGGTGCTGCTGTGCATGGTGAGGGAATCTCCAAGGAAAGATAGAGCTTTTCCAATGTCACACCTCCTCTCTCCCATTCTGTAGGAAATGCTGTACATTAACAAAAGGCAATAGTGAAGGGGCAGGGGCCTCTGGTGCTCATGGGGAGCTCAGAGTTGCATCTGGGGCAAACTGGGAGATTTGGTCATCCTTTCTCAGGCCATCAGTAGTGCTGGGCATAGAACAGGGTTGGAAATTGAAGTCTGGCTTGAATTTGACCTTCCTCCCACGGAAGTGCTGGCTGTGGTCCTCTCCTGGAAAATCTCCCCCTGGCGTGTTTGAGCAGCAGATTTAAGTGCAGAGCTGGGTTTGTTTGGCTGCAACATGGGCTCTGGGGACATGACATGGTCTGTATTTGTGAATCTACCCTGCCTTCTGTCTGTCTTTGGAAATACCCTTTCACTTGTTTGGGAGAGCTGAGAATGATCTGCAACCCGGGTGCAGCTTAGGAGGCCCACCACACTGGTGTCAGGCAGCAGAGCAGTTATTAATAGAACCCTGGTCTTTCTGGAGCTTAATGTCAGCTCTATGCCGTCCTCAGGGCCTTTGCTCAATCAGGGTCCCAGTTTCTCACTTTCCCCCTCCCTGAGGCTGCAGGCACAGGTTCAGATGAGCTGTGATTACTGGATGCTGTTTCTGAGGGCAGCTGTCCTGAAGTGGCTCTTATCTCCTGGGAGGGGAGGAGGAGAGGGGACTAGAGATGCAGACTCACTGAGTTGCAATTCCACTGGAGCTTCTCACCAAGTAGCTCTGGGCCCTTGGAGAGGAGAGCTCAAGATATCACCTGGACAAATGCCTGGGTGGTCTTGGAAGTCCTGTGTGTCCGTTAGCCAAATCAAGAGCAAATAGAGAGAAGCCTCGGGGCCCACAAGGAGTGGCCTTGGCTTTTCAGTAAACACACAGGGTGGCCCCAAACAAAGCAGTGGGTGTCTGGGAACACTTGTCTTTCTGGTCCCTTTTGAATTATTTTAAAATAGATGCCACACATCACTGTCACCACCTGTAATTTTTGTTGTCACTATATGAATAGATGCTGATAAATTTGATTCTCCAGCTTACAGTGGCATTTATGATCTGTCTTTCCCTTTTCAGTTTCCATGTGCTACAGTGACTGTCTCTCAATGCGGTTGGCAGTGACCTATGTTTTTCATGCATATTTTTGTTTCAGAATAACTGGGAGATGAAACAGGAAGCTCTGTGACACACTTGATCGAAAATGACACAGATCGAAAAATCAGGATTTGACCCCCACCTCCAGCACCTTTACCTGCTGCCAGCAGATCACAGCTGGAAAGCAGGCGAAGGGTTTGCCCTGGGACCAAATTCTAACCACCATGGATTCTTGAGGGCCTCTGCACTCACTGGTGATGTGTCTGCGATATTTTGGTCACTGTCAACTCTGGTCAGTTTCCTATTTATCTGGTCAGTGTCTTGTGTCTTACTCCTTTCTCCTTCATTAAAAGCAAAACTAAAGAAAACTGAATTGTTTGTTTATTAGCTACATTTGAACACTAATTTAAGGGAACAGTGTTTGAGATGAATTTCTCCAAGGCCACAAATAAAAATCTTATCATAACCACACGGATCATCATGACATCGTTATATTGTGTTGAACTTGAATCTTTTATTACTCAGCCATGTTTGTCCTACTTCTTATATCTCTTTAGATCTCCCTTGAGTCAGTATGAGCAAGTTGACATTTGAGAAGAGCATTGGGATTCGTCTGAAAGTCTCTTTCCACACCCACCCTGATCGAGGACTGTAGCTGTGAACCCAAGATTACTCCCAACCTTGAGCTTTACACCGGAGAGACCTCAGATTTCTTTGCTCCCTCTCGTACTCCACAGATCCATCACCTCTTTGCTTATTCATTCCATATAGATTTCTCTGGGACCCACTGTGTAGCAGGTTCTGGAGATAAAGTAGTGGACAGGATCAGCTCTGTCCACTTTCTGGGCATTTCTAGCCTCCTTATGAGCGGGCTTTGTTCAGTAAGTGTCAAGGATTGCTGTGTGCAGCTTGTCACGGGCATTGTATTGAGATGCACTGATTCCCTGGATCCACCCACTCTTCAAACCTGAGACACTGGGTTTGGCACTTGGATATTCTTTGAAATGATTGATTTCTTCTGCAGAGTCCCTCTGTTCACCATAGTCACAAGCAGGACAGTGTGACCTTCCTGGGGACAGGCCAAAGAGGCCATTGGTAGCCACCTCCCAGTTCTTTTTTTTTTTCCAGTACCTGGGATCGAACTCAGGACCTTGAGCTTGCGAGGCAGGCAGGAGCATGACTGAGCTAAATCCCCAGCCCCTCCCGTGCTTTTTGCCCATCTTCACTTTTAAATGTCCATATTTAGTATTTTGTGCTTCTCAGAGTTAACTTACCAGAAGGCCATGGTTATCACACATCCCCACTATGATCAGCACAGTGGATGCAACAAGGCATGTCCAGGCCTCAGCCCAAATATGCAGGGCTCTGGGAAGCTCCCTAAATACCATGACTCCAGAGAACCCTCCTTGTCTCTCTCGTGATTATTTTATTTTCTTCACAGAATTACTCCTATCAGCAGTTATCCTGCTTCTTCATTTATTATCTCAACCTACTCCCCAACTTTCCTCTCAATGAAGACAGATATATTCTGGCTTCTTCCTCTGTCTGTCACAGCACCTGACGCTCTGTTCAGCCTCATGTATTGACTGATTCAGCATCTCCTCGCTTCATGGCAATTCTGTGATGCTGATCTCCCCATGTTGTGGCCACTGTTTGGTACATGATGAAACCAAGCCTCTATCTCTGAGTTCAGTCAATGGAGTGACAAGGGGAGGAGCCAGGCTCTTGGGAGCCAGGCTTTCCTACAGGAAAGCTGGGTCAATCACTGACTGCTCTCTGGGTAGTAAGACTCTCAACAGAAACCAAGTTTTGCTTTTGCTTACCCACATCCTCTATTATTTGCTTGCATTCCCGGAAAATGAAAGGTCATAATGTTCTGGAGGCATGTGCCTCTGTAGGTGTCTCTAGCTGCCACTTTCCTCATCAGAACATAAGAAGTCCAGATGATGACTCCAAAGATTCCATGCTGCCCTGAGATTCTTTTCTTTCTCCTCTGGCTCCATGGCAGTAGTGACAGAGCCCTGGAGGCTGCCAAGGCATCCTGGCCCAGTCCTGGTTTTGGGATATGCCTTGGATCATGGCTCATGTAGCGTTAAATCTTCTCCCTCTGGACACAGCTCTGCCCTGGTGCAAAGGGCTCTGCAGGCACACATATCCCCTCCCGAGTGGCCATCCCCTCTTGTGTTCAAGAGCAAAACACAACTGCATCCTCTGTCCATTTCTGCCTTACTCCTAGAGTTATTCATAGCTTCAAAAAGATGGAATCACAGGCTTGAGAAGAACCAGAAATAACCCATAGTGTTCAGAAGATAATTCATTCATAAGGCTAAAAGGAGACAAAAGACAAGAGCGTTGACTACCCAATTCTAGGTGATTAGGGCAATAGTTCAGACTCTAGAATTCAGACAGTAGAATTTCTCAGGGTGTATAAAAACTCCAGACACTCAGGCCTTACCCAGCCCAATCACATCAGAATTTGGGGTTGAGTTGGGGGAGAGGCAAGTAGCAGTATTTTGAAAAGCTTCCCAGGCAATTTCAATGCATGACCAAGGTTGAGAAACACTGGCCTGGGGCTGCCCTCTCCAACATGGTAGCCCTTGGTTACATGAATCCATTGAACACTTAAAATGTAACTCATGCACCAAGGATCTGAACTCTTAATTTTCTTATTTTAATTTAAAATTAAATGTCTAGATGTGGCTTGGTGCTGCCATATCAGACAACTAAGGTGAGAACATATGGCTCATAAAAGACAATGTTCTATGGCATGGCATAGCATGGCCTACGGGAGCAGAGTTCTTACCTGCTAAATGGAATTGTGCTGAACTTTGGAGAAGCTTAAGGTAACTCTTTTCAGCTGACTTCACGCAGGCCCATTCTCTTGTCTTGGGCCTGCACTATATTTTGCATCTACATTTTGAGCCAGGGCTTGTGCAGCAGCAAGGGCAACATGCTTTCAAAACACTGAGATGTAGGATTGAACAGAATTTTAAACATCTGTGAAAGTCCAAGACCCAGACCTATATTCTCGAGGGTTTACTCTAGTGGCTTCTATTTGCCTTTCAGAATCTCAGCCCTGAAAAAAGTGTTTTCTGAACTGCTCTGTAATTAGTCTAATCCAACAATTTAGGGCAGTGCTAGAAGAAATTTTGGCAAGAGATGTTACCATGTAGAGGAATCAAAGCTTTTGAAATGGGCACAGGGAGGTGGCATAGCAAGCTCAACCAATTTGGGGTTAAAGATGAAGAAACAGAAGCCAAAGCTGAATCATTTTCTACTTATCACTCAGAGACTGTCATATTTTCTTTTTTGGTTGAAGGGAAAGCACCTTACAACAAAGAATAATACTATTTTGAATTTCAGAGCTTTCCCTTTTTCAAAGCACTTTAACATCTCGGACTTATTTTGTTCTCACAACAAGGCCCTAAAATAAGTAGGAGAGGAATTTTTAGTACCTAACACCCCAAGGAAACTCAATATTATAGAAAGAATTAAAAGTGAAGGGTTGGTTTCTTATATTCCTGACTACACTCAAATGTTTAGTTGTGCAACTGGAAGCAGATATACATACACTGTACTCCAAGTGTGGTTTTTGTGTCTAATGGAAACAGCACTTTGCACTGGTTATGGCATGTTTCATCCCAGCTTTCTAGCCCCTGAGTCTTTCCTGATTTTTCAGGGACATTTCTCAGAGCTTTCCATTTAGTAAATATGCCTTCAGTGTCTCTTTGCAGTTTACTTTACAATAGCAGGTGTGAAAGAACACAGGACAGAGTCCTGTGGCTCTCCATGAGAATCATTTTTGCTTCCCTCCGAAGAATGTCCTTTGTGTCCAACCTTAGAGGCTGACACTATCACCTTGTGGTCCTCAACCTACTCTTGTGTAGAGCTCCAGAGAGTCACTTCCAACCAGGCTTGCCAGTGGGCAGACAGCACAGAACAGTTGATCCTCTGAGATAGCACTGGTGGCCTGGCCAGTGGAGCCTTATCCAGTGGCTACACTGGGAGTAGAGGTTGACAGGATGGACATGATACCATGAGTTGGCCTTCCCTGGAGATGGTTGTCCAACCAATTGTGAACCCTACTGGTCTTATCATCACCTGGCCCATCTTTTGAACCTTTCTAGATAGGATATGATGAGAGGTTTTCAAATGCTTTACTGAAAGCAAGACACACTTTCTGGGGCATTCCCCTAATTGACTGTGCTGGTGAAGCTCGTCAAAACAGGAAATGAGGTTAGCATGGAATGACTTTCTCTCAGAGAACCTGTGCTACCTCCTAGAGACCACCACTTTCTTCCCAAAAGCTGGCAGGCTTCCTTTATGCTTTCTTTGGGTTTTCCTGGAGATTGGAGGGAGTTTGCTCTTCTGTAGTTTTTCAGAATCTTTTTCTTTGGAAGTGGTGTTCCCAGACATCCAGACCCTTGCCTTTCATGCTGGTATCTCTAAGATGTTTGCAAGTTGATCTGAAGTTAGATCTGCACATATTTCAACCACTGCAAAAATGTGGTTAAGCCAAGGGCTCCATGCATATGGCCAGGCAGAAGGTTCACACATGAGCTCCTTGGCATGGGCTTTTGGTAGCTTCTTTATATGAGAGAGCACTGAGCCTGGAACAACTGGGCTCCATTGAACTGATTCCCATGTTGGGTTTCTGGACTGAGTAGTCAAAAGCAGTGAGGGTTTCACAGTATTGGCAGGTGGCCATGCTCATCTTTACTGAGGCTTTCTGACAAATGGCTCTCATCGAAAGTTCAGAGTCAACTGAGCCACATTTGCCTTTGTGCTGTAGAGGGAGTACAATGGGGAATTTTGGCCGTGGCTTCCAAGCATCTAGGTAGAACTCTTTTCTCCAAACTCTAAACTTGATTTACACTTTGAAAACTATTTGCCTGTGCATTGTGCTCTCATTTCTGCAATCATGGGTCTTTCTTTTCTTTTGGAATTTAACAGAATCTCAAAAGCCAACCTGGGTTCATGGCTGGAGTAGTGGGTTGGATGGCATAAGCCAGTCCTTCAGTCCAGGTGGGTCTGCTTGAATCCACCCAGATCCAGAGGCTCTGTTTCAGGAATGTGTCCCTGAGGAGATGGATTAATAAATGCTTACCTTTCCAGTGATCCCAGCTACCAGTTGAGCTCTGAATACAACTTCTGGTGGCTTACAACATTATTTCCAGTCCTCATAAAAGGGGGCAGGGATTATTAACTTTTTGTTTTGGTTAAGAAAACTGAGTTTTGGTGAGGATCAGCAGCTCACCTATGTGACACAGTCAGTGGATCCTGGGTGTAAATGCAGGGCAGACTGGCATGACCTCAGCTCTTTCTTATGCAGCCTCTTTGTGCCTTGTAAATCTGTGAAAGCAAATACCATTT